TCATTAAATATATATGTGCCTCATCTTTTACCATTATTGCTTTCATTTTTATCGATATTATTACTGCCAGCAATATCACTGTAGGCATTATTATTGCTATTATGATTACTACGGCTACTTCTAGCACTATTTTGAAAAACAAAACGCAAAACAGTTTTTCCAAAAAAAAAAAAGTTCAGAAATGGAAGAAGTACTTCTGCATAACTCTGCGAGAACATTTCCCCGAAGCGTTCATGTTCGGCGATTGCTGCTTCGAGCTCATCACCCGAGTACTGCCCCATATGTCTGCTATTTTCCAGTGTGATTTGATGAAGCCATGCTGGTGCATTCGACAAATACTGAAATTCACATAACAGCTCCCAAAAGCAGTCGGATACCTGTGCTTACGCATCAATGCACCCACCGGTTATTGCCTAGTATATGCCCGTCCTGAGAGAGACATACGTAACCGAACGCAAAAACCCGAATGTGTCGTGTGACGAATGAATGTCTACTGCGTAAACAGAACTTATAAAATGGCCTGGAAGGAGTTCAACCTATACTGACTTATCGATTCCATTGCAATTTAACAATTTCAAGTTCACTGAACTTCGAATGGGCTCTTCGGTGGCATGATTTTTGCGCAACACACACACACACACACACACACACACGCACACACACACACACACACACTTATTAAGTTCACTTACCGACTGGATAAGTAAACGCTCCCGATTCTAAGTAACTCGAAAGCAAAAGCAAAACGAGCAGAGAGACTTACAATGTGACTTTTGCGATGAAATGAAAGGGCCAAGTCGAGCAAGCGTGAGCGCTGTTCGTTGATGTGCTTGAAACGTCGCCATTCCTCGTCCAGACGAATAGCCACACTTTCAATGTGAGCTTTTCCGTAGTTGCCAATCTCACGAAGGCGTTTTGCGACTGTCATCACATGTGAGATGTTCACTTCCGTGTTCTAAACATACAACAAACACACTGTGAGAAACTGTCATTATTCAGTAAATGAACAGTGAAAGCACACAACAACAATGGCATGTTTGGAAGCGAGTCGAAAATGCACTCGGACAATACATTCAACAAACCCCTCCGCTTTTTGACCGAAACAGGGCCTTCCTTCCTCCCCTGCAGTTACACGGACAAACATAAAATGCAAAAATGTGCAATTTCAGTAAAGCAACCAGACAGCTTCCCCATACTGCGAATACTTCTAATGCGGATGGATGAAAGCAAGAGGACTGACATTGGCTGCTTTTAAGAAGTCGCAGTGCTCGGCGAGTAGCATCGATGTGGACTGCTCGCAGTCGCCGATTTCCAGTAGCCGCTGATTGGCAAGCGCATAATGCCGTCGAATCCATTCAAACATCTCAAATTAACAAACACAGTTTACTTTCCAAAACCTGGAGAAAAACTGAATCACACGATTATCGCAATCATCCGAGGTATTCGAGTAGCCAAGGGAGTAGCATGCACATTCTGAGGACTGCAATGCAACACTATCCCATTGAAGTGCATTAACTGGTCCAACGTGAATGTACCATTATTTGCCTAACCTGAGCTAGCTGGATGCAGGCGCTACTACACAATAACACTTTCTGAATGTCCTAAAGGCACAGGTAGCAACAAATGGTGATTTCTTACTTACGACAGAAAGGAATCCCTTCAAAATTCCAAAAAAAAAACTAAAAAAACTAAAAAAACTGGTAAATTCAGCTACTATAAATTTCAGCTTAAATCACCGCTGCTTCGCTTCAAACTTTTCTAAAAAAAAGACAGTCAGGCGCATGTGGGGTTTTATTAAGTGCTTCTATATCACATAAATTAATCTATTTGCACAGCTTTCATTGTCAACTGAAAAACAACGAAGTAAACTCGATCAGCAGTAACAGTACTGAATCTGAAACGATGCCAGAGCACCTCCTTCTTGCAACACACACACACATACAAACAAATGTCTGCAACTTGGCTGGGATTTTTGAAACAAATTACTAGCAATTTCGGTCGACAAAAATTTTGTCAATCAAACAACTCTAACTTAAAATCTCCCTTCAGCAAGCAATCCTGCGAAAATTTAAGGCATGCTTACTCCAAAGGGCACAAAATTTTCGTTTCAGTCCTTACCCTTTCATGGGAAATAATCCCCCAGTTATCAGAAATACCGAGACTGCTCGGAGTTAGTAATATTACTGGAATGCTTCAACAGGTCAGAGGCAAATATGTCAAGTCCTTCGATCCTCGGTTGCATACCTTCAATTAATAGCTGCCACGTGTTCGATGCATGAGCATCACCTTTTCGAAGACCACCCAAACGTTCGTTTACTTTCTCGCATATATTACTCAATAATACACGACTTCTACCGTTAATAAGATGAGCAACGAAAATTCCCGTAATTTCCCAAACCAGTTCCATAAGTTAATTATTATCAAATTTCAGAATTTAATTTTTCTTTTAATTCAGTTTTTCTTTTACCAAAGAATTTTAATATTATCAGAGTTCCCTGTTTACACATAATTCGAATTTAATTTTTCTTATCAGTGAAACTAATGATTTTCATAGTGTATAATTCGACTTCAAGATATAAAAAAAAAATATTATCAAACTGAACCTTATCAGCATCCTGCTCGAAAAGCTTGAGCTGATAGCAGTGGTCCAATTTTTGTCGACGCGTCTCCCATTGCAAGAAAACTTCATCCCTGAAAATCAGCGATGATAACACTGCAACAGATTGATAATTTTGTTCATTTTCAAGCTAACAAATAGCATTTTATTAATATTCTGGCAATAAATTATAGTAAATGTAAAAACAACGAATAGATTTTTCATTTGGCAAAAACATACTTGGAATTTCGAAGTGAACTGATTAAGGAGGAAAGATTGGGAAGGGCAGCTGCGAGGTCAGGATTGGCTATGGGCATTCCACTGGATGAACTGTATCCATCATCGGGCGTAGCTCCACTGGAACCTGATATCCTCTGACGTATCTACAAAGAAATCCAAATCCACT